ACCGAGACCCCAGCCACTGTCCGAGCCGGACAGTTGTCTGGTGTAGGGAATGGGTGGAGTGCCCAGTAAATGATGAATAATTATCCCCTACAGAGATAGGCTTCTGGGGAGGTACTGAGGAAACATCAGTTTCAGGAGGATACGGGCAAATTTAATTTAATACCCTGAGTTATGCGTGTATGTGCATAGATTAGAATGCGATGACGAGTGTTCAGCTGGGGCGTGGCCGGAGGAAGAAGAGATGAGAAGTCGCCTTTTCAGCCTTCCCTGCGCTTGTCCCTTACAAATAACATTGCTCATATATCCCAGATTTATATCAATAACGCTGAAACATTAAAGAGAACCTTATCCTTAGGCAATAATTAAAACGAAAAATAACAGCAAAATTATAAAAGTGTCAAAGCTTAACCAGATTTAATATACTTGACATAGGGCGGATCAAAGTGCGCGTGCTGTATCACCCAGCTACCAAGGCTTTCTAAATTTAAAAAAAATTAGTTTTCTAAAAACGTTAAGTCCTTCGTAAGGTCTCAGCAGCAGCAGCAGTAGCAGGCAAAAACGAGACTTACGGGAATCTTGTTTTGAGTCTGAGTGAAACTGGCCATACCATCGACCGAGTTCTGCGACTGCATGAAGAAACGTACGGCCTCGGAGGCGCCCCAATCAAAGATGTTGCCGGCGAGGATGCCACGAGCCAGCGCAACCTGGCGCTCAGACCAATCCAAGGCGTTCAATTTTTCCATTAAACCCGGGAAGAAAGAGAGGGCCCAAGAATTCTCCGACTGGTGTTGGGGAACAAAAAAGAACACGGAGAGTTTGGAGCAGGAGTATCAAAAATCAGTTTGAAGAAATTCGGCAGATTAGCTACAGATAGCAGCATTTGCTGGAGAAACCGGCCGACAGCTACAAGCGCGAATGCATGAACATAAACTGGCTGTAAGAAGGTTGGATCCAAAATCGGAGGTAGCAATCTATGCGGCAGAGATGGGGCACGACTTCAACTTTGACGCTGTTGAAATTGTGAGGCGAGGTGATCACACATCAAGGCCTGGATGTCGACCGACTGTTTATTAAACCGGCACATAAATGTACTTGTCCCCTATGTTGTTTTAAGGGCCTTCTTATCAGGCGACAATCACGGCATGGAACAATCGGGGCGGCCAACTAACTCCAATGAAGCAAGTCGAGGCGCGACGGGGGCCGACGGGACGAACGCATATGAGGGAGGAACCAACACACGCGGTACGGTAACAGACAGGGTAAACGAGGAGGCCAAATGTGAGACGCGAGACACACACAGCTGCTAAGCAGCGATTGACAGAACAGGCACACGGAGAAAGAGCAGCATAAAGCCGAGAACCATGAGTCAGAGTGTTCATCCTCTGAAGATGGGTAGACAAGACCACTACCCAAACCCTCTGATTTACAGTAAAACTCTACCGGTGAACGCCCTTCTTTCTTCTGACTTACCACCTGGGAATCGAACTTTCAGCTCTTTTACTGTATCAAAATTTGTCAGGTGTAATTGTACAAAGGTTAAGCTTTTCAATTTCTTCAGAACCAAAATTATAACTCGGATTGGAGTGTATACATGGGTCTATAGAAATTTGGGCCGAAGTCCACCGGCCACTACGGGATGACCGCGTAATATTCACAAGCTGCCACCAGGCAGTCAGTAACAAAAGCGGGAGCCGATACCTAGGAAAGATGCGTGACCGAATGAAAACCGCATTCCAGTAGGTCGTCAAGTAGGAAATCTGTAGTGAGGCATGTGGTCAACCTTGGCAGCTTCTTATTCCACGTTGGTATTATATTTCGACATTCTTGAGTTTTTGTTAGCTGGTTGTCGCACATACTTCCTTTGCCTTAAGAATGTTGGCAATCTTTAAAGGCAGAATGATATTACCGACAGAGACAAGAGAGTCAGAAATGGCTGTAGAGTACGAAGTTGTGCGACCGAGAAATAGAAGATAGAAGTATCCCAACGGTTATAAACCAGTAAATAAGAAGATAAGACGTGGGAGGTCAGAGTGTTAGGAATAGTTTAACAAAGCGCAGAAGGACTGGAGTATTGGTAAGAGGAAATTGGCAATCGGAAAAGTGCAGTCCAGCTATGAGCGAGCCGGGTCCGGAGTCGCAGTCCGGCAGTGAGGTCTCCGGGTTCGGGAGTGGTCGGTGCGTAGGCAGTCACCACAACAAGGTCCTTTGTGAACCGGCCTTAGAAAATGATTGGTCAGGTAGGACAGAGAGAGAGAGAGGACAAACACACGTCCATGACCTTAACCGGCATTTAACACGCTTTGGTGCGGACGTGTTTATTGGATACGGGACACAGACATGCGACCTGCCCCAGAGGCATGCGAGGAATGCAATCGTGTGACCTCATGCATGGCTGAGCAAGCGAGGTCACTACATGGCCAGTTCTGGCTTTTTAGCCGTCATCAGCCGACCAAACGCAAACCCCAGACGTTGCACCGACTGAGGCTTAAACGCGCGAACTCGCTAGGTAGAAGTCCAACGCTCTAACCACTGTGCCACGAGCTCGTTGTGTTTTCGCCCATTTCCCACTATCAGCAATCCTTTTTAAAACACATTTTGTTGTTTGGTGATGCTAAAGTCGGAATTTCGTGCAATTATGAAACAGTTCTTAGGTGGAAATACTGCACCACAGACAGGCTTAGAGCATTAATGGCCTACTTGCCTCTTATATTTCTACACAATATAAAATTGGCTTGCAAGATTTTGTTCTAGTAAATTTAACTTCACGTCGGCTAGATGTATAATGACGAACTGACGAGTCAGACCCACCGCAAAGTGGACGTGAATTATTGTTGTTGATGTTTGGCTTTAGCAGACAAAGAATATTAACTTGCCTAGCTGAAGACGGAAAAGTTCAAATTAGACTGAATGAAAGACAGAAATATCTGTTAGGAGTTTAGCCTGAACAAATGCTAGCAACGTTGGAGGCTTTTCTGAGGCCTCCTGCATGCCAAAATATATTAGTGCGTTCGTTCTGACCGGTTTCAAGGTCATATGCCCGCGTGATCACTGTCCACACACAATGACCTTAGACCGGACACGTTCACAGCCGAGCTTAGACAG